TCGACTTACAAGATAAGGATAAAAGCCGAGGAATTCTGATTTAAAACGGACGCGTAGACTGGTCTCCTGCGCACTTCTATGTTAACCATGATATGACAGGGAACCAGAATAAACGGAAGCAGTCCATAATATACTGAATTGCACTTTTAAAACAGAAAATGTACAATACAAATGAATGATTATTTTAACCAACTTCCCGCCTTATTTCATACTACAAAGAGATCGCCTTGAGGCTTTGCCTTTTTCATATAATTTTAATTTGTTCAGTGTGATAATATTACAAACCCTAGTCGGATCTTTTATTATCTTCAAGAGATGCAGCAAAAAATCCTGCTCTTCTTTAAATATTCCATTTTTGTTAATATTGTCTGTTTGTATTGTCGTGAAATTCGCACGTCGTGAAAGTCGCGTTTAAACAGTCTGTACTTGTTAGCCGGTCTGTATGCGGTTTATTGAATGGTTGACGCCATATTAAATATAGAAGGCCGTATGCAAATGAGTTTTATATATATTACAAATGAGTTATGATATATCACAAAAGGAGCTGATGTAGATACGATGTCCTGTGGAAATGTGAAAGTAGAGAAATTGAAACTCCTTTCCTTTCTATGTAACAGTAAAATACTAATAATTTGAACTGAAAGCTATTATTCTAATATCCATTTGTTTTCTATTTAAACATACGATTTTGATTCATATATAAATGGACAGAAGACTGTAATATGTAATTATCATTTTACGGTTAATTGCTTCAAAACATGAACTATCAAAAGTTTGAAATTATAAATTAAATGACAAGCACAACCTTTGTTCATATTAGAGACATAAAGTTTACAACTATAGAATCAGTCACGATGGATATGTAATAGATGCTTGGTGCATTTTAGTTTGTGAAAATGTTTACAAAATTGTTTCCTCTTAAAACAAAATAGAACTTTTTATTATTTTTTTCTGTTTACTTGTTTTACTTTGAATAAATGTAGTTAAAATTTCTTTATGAGCTGTTCAGAGTTTAGATTATTATTTTGTTTAAAAGTTTTAATCTTTAAAACTAAAATAAAGAAGAAAATTATTAAATCTTGTAAAACATGCGTGAGTTTTGATTATGAACTATTGTTAAAGAAACAACAGCTAAAAATAAAACATACATTATTGTTGAACAATGAACATCGATGAAACTAGTGAACAGTTCGGTGCAGATTATTAAATTTCCCTATCCTTGATAGTTCAATAGGTAACTCGCAAGTCCAATGAAAGTAAATTACTTTGATATAACATTTCGTTAGATATATAATATACTCTATAATTTATGACTTAACCATACCATCCTCTAAAATCAGATAGCTCAAATCCTAATATGGTGTATTCTCTATCGATAGTGAAATTTTATTGAACAAGACTAAACTAGAATTGATATTTATAATTACAGCATATTAAAATATAATATGACAATGCAGCAATATTGTGTTGCTTACATGTATAAGTAATTCCTGTTACAGATAAGATACTCGTAAATGTCATCTCTGCCCATTAAATGACCTAGGTGACGAGTTTCATTATTTACTCGTCTGCCCATTTTTTAAAGAAAAACAAAATAAGCTTTTAAATCGAAGATTTTACAACAATCCAAATATCCTTAAATTTAAGGAACTGCTCGCCACTAATGACCGAATACAGCTGACAAATCTCGCAAAATACGTAGCATTCACTATGAAGTTTTTTAAGCGATCGTAAAGTTTATAATCTTAATTTCATATGATTATGCATCAGACTTTAGAAATATCATAGGCCAATGTTGTTTATTAATATAAATACTGCAAGTTTGATTTGCTGTGTAATATATGTAAACCATGGCAGGCGCTAAAAAGTATGCATAAACTTAGTCAAAAACAGCAACAATAACAAAAGCAATTTGTATAACTTATTACACTCACCGGTATATAATTCCATGTACGCGCACTTCTTACGATTCAACAAGTACATTAAATTCCACTGATAAAATCCCATCCGAACGAAATTAAGCACACTTCCGGCTCTATTTTGTGTAAGCATCCAGGTCAAGTGAAATAAACATTGATTTATTGAACGTGTGAATAAATGACCAATCAAATTCGATTACATCGGGAAATCCATTTAGGTCATTCCTTTGAATTATTTATATAATTGGTAACCTAATACTAAATATCTATCATCCAAATATATATATTTCGCTTTTCATAAGCGCATGTCGTAAATGTAATTGTAATTTTTTAAACCACGCCCTAAAAATTAGCTATGAATGAAAATCATGATTCTCGTGCTCGAACGAAATGGATAGTAAAAGTTGTAGTAGTAATTTTCCCACGGCAAATTGATTTCATTTCGCACCATGATAGCAAAATCTTTTTATGCTGTATTTTTTGTTCTTACTGTTTTCCTATTGCGTACATGTAAATTTCAAATAGTACTTCTGTATGTATAGGTGTATGTGTGTGTGCGTGCGTGTGTTAATTTTTCCCTGATTTCTAGATAACTTGAGATTAAATTGTCAAAATTTGCAAAGACATATATATATATATATATATATATATTAAAGGTGTAACGATTCATCGATGCATCGATGCATCGCGATCTGTCTTGTCCCCGATGTATGCATCGTAATGAAATTACAAATTCCAATATATTGCGATGCAATACATATTTCACCTCCCGATGTATCGATACAGCGGGAAGGTATCGCAATACACTAACAATATCTTCCAGGAATATAAGGACAAACGTATTTTTTGAAAGACTGAAGAAAGAAAAATAGCTCGGATGAAAACATAAACAAGCGCGACTATTATCATACCATCATTGTCATCTCGTTTCCCCATGTCCACAATCATTTAACAGTTACTAACCAAGTTTTATCAATTCCATGTAAATGGGCTGGTGTTCTTTGAACTTGTTTATAATAAAAACATAATTAGAGATCTGTGCGATTTCAAGAAAAAACAACCTACAAACATGAATTTGTAATTTTATTTTGTAGCACTTAAATGTCGGATTAAAATAGTGATGATGACAACATCCCCATGTGATATTCGTCACGTATTTATACTTTCATTTCCGTTGACATCATTTTCCCGTAAAAAAACAACAAAGCAAACAAACAAACAGAAAACATGAAGACTGCAAAATATGTAGACGGGGATATTACAGTCAATCCTCCCTGGTCATATATTTAAAGTCACGAGTTTTGGGAAAATTGTAGTTTTTGGGGAACCATCAGACAGTGTTGTATAATGTGGAAGACCGGACGTGGAGTGTTTGCAAAATTTGCAAACTCAAAATAAAATACTCTGGAGTTGAGCACAAATCTTTCGAGAAAACTGAGACTGAAACTTATAAACTGTCATTTTCACAGCTGTTGACCTAATTGTAGATCACTTGTTACTATTTTTTTCACAAGAAAAATCTTAAGTGGTGTATTGTAAGACTGAAATTGTTAAACTGCCATATTTACAGTAGTGGACTATAGTGTTAGAATAGCTAGTAGATATCAATTTGCTGTTATGGTTTAATTAAAAATACCTTTAATCCTCAAGTAATCAGAAAAGTAAATTGTTAAAAGATCAAAATCGGAAACCAAGTTATAACAACAAGTTAAAGAGTTTATTTTTTTGTTATTGTAATAGTTTTATATTATATTCGTAATTATGCTGTAAACAAATGGCCAAATTTTATATACTAAGTCTAAAAGTCAGTATCATGATACGTATCGCATCGCAACATAAGAATCGCAATATGCATCGCATTTCTTCAAAGTATGCAATACATATCGTGAATCGCATCGTTTTGAAAAACAAATATCGTGATATGTATCGTGACAGAAAAAAAATGGCAATGCACAGCCCTAATATATATATATATATATATATATATATATATATATATATATATATATATATATATATATATATATATATATATATATATATATATATATATATATATATATATATATATATATATATATATATATATTTAGCACTTGTGTTAAAAGCTTATTATATTTACCTATGAAATTTGTATGTTGATAATATCCACTTTCCCCACATGAAACTTAAATTATGATACCCATTTAACATTTAATATTGATATATATATATTTGTACACATGTAATTACAAAATGTCACCTTGTAATCTGTGCCTCTCAAATAAAGATTATGTTCTGTTCTGTTTATAAGGAAACCCTATTCTATCACAGATATATATAATGCAATAGATACAACTCTATACCCGACTTAATCAAAATGTATTGATAAAGTCTAAGATATTTAAGTTAGTGTTGTGGAAATGAAAAGTTTAAAAAAAACGTCATAATTTACTTACATTACTCAAAATTACTATTTCACAATGTAACAATTTCTTTCAGCTTAAAGGGAGACACAGGCAAAATTGTCATTTCTTAGTTTTTAATTTTTCAGTAAGTATTTTGTAAATGCCTTCAAAATGAATACATTAGACAGTCAAAGGAACAAAACATATCTCCATGTAAAGAATAAAATGGTGGTTTCCTAACTTGACCCGCGTGGGTAACGTTAGAGCGCCAGGATTTCAAATAGTTGTCACTGAACTCTGGAAACGTTAAAGAACATGTCAAATGAATGACTTAGACTTGTTTCAATCATACAATGTCCAAAATATCTTTTAGTGTAACTTCAAGGGTTTGTTTAAGTCACATGACTTGTTTTAAAACTATTCGGTGATTCTATTGGCGTTTAAATTTTGTTCAACATAAATAGATATATCTACGATTCAAACCCAAAATATATAGAATTTAAACAGAAATTCATGCTGGAACATTAAGAAATGTCATTTTAGCGTGATTTGAGTACATAAAACCATTTTGATATTTTTGTCATTATTTTGTCTGAATATCCCTTTAATGAAACCAGCGTGCACTATCGATGTATGTACCTCATATGTCATATACGACATCAAAATTGTATTATCAGAAATGTTAAAATCTTACCATGTGTAACAACTGTCTTCGGTTTATTTTGTCTCTCGGTCCCGGCCTTCCTTAATTCAAACAAAACATCATATATTACCTTTTAAAATGATTTATTTTACTATTGTTAACTATAACATGAATCCTGTGTCATGGAAATAAAGTCGTATATAATGTTCCAGTTTCTCAATAACGTTATTGCCAGCTCGCTCTCTCTCATTAATGTAGATCGTGAAATAGTTTCACACAAAGAGAGTTTGTATTGTTGCTGTTTGACATTTGGAATAATGATATGATTAATGCATTTACTACAAATAACATAAAAATGTCAGAGTAAAAATAATTGAATCAATTTTAACGAACCTATTGTATGTATGCCTTACATAGAATTAGAATAGTAAAATAATTAATATATCTAATTATTTTATTGACCATTTGTAGGATAATATGACTTTTGGCTTGCTCTGTTCATTTAATGGTTTGGCATTTAATCAAAGTACTCATTAATTAATGATAATTACTTCGTCGCTCTTGACTTAAATATGTTGCAACTACAGGAATGTTGATGCTGTATGCTATGAAATTCATAGTCTGGGTCTACGATTTGCCTGGAATAAAATATGTGAAAAACATGTTAGACAGAATCATTATTATGTTAAACGGTAACGAACATCCACTTAGGTTTATTAAATGTCTAAGTAGTTCACAAATATATTAAGCTTCTTTACAAAATAAACTCCACATTCTCTAATGACAAAATAAAGCAATGACAAATATTTATCTTTTTTTTAAATAACAACATGCTATTGTTAAAAGTACATATATTTGCCAGTCTTTATTTTTCTTTATAATACATTAAATTATCCTACAGGCTTGAAGTGTTACTTTTGTTATATAACTAATATAGGCTTGTAAATTTCAGTCACGAGAACATAGTTATAACACATGCTTGTAGATTTTTGTCACGAGAACATAGTTGTAATATATGCTTGTCGGGTAATTTTTGTTAAACGAGAACATAGTTATAATAGAGGCTTGTACATAGAGTACATTCTGTGCCACGAGAAAATAGTTCTGATACACGTTTTTAGTGTAAATTTTTAATCGCGAGAGCATAGTTATAATACACTTTCGTGTTGTGTACATTTTGTTTCACGAGAACATAGATATAATAATACAGGTTTGTAGCAATCATTTTGTGTCACGAGAACATTTTTTTTATCAGCTAGGAGTGTAAAGTTTTGTTTGATTTGAATATAAAGTTAAAGTAAGGCTTGTGGTGTAAATTCTGTTTTATAAGAACATAAAGTTATTGTATAAGATATCAGTGTAAATTTTGTTTAATGGGAATACATTACTTTAAATGTATGTAAATGCTTGTTGTTTTGTTGTTGCTTTTTTTTTTTTTTCTTGAATACACACATAACGTTCTTATACAGGGTTGTTGTATGTTTTTTATGAGAAAAAAATTATAATGTATGTTTGTAGTATAGGTACATGCTGTTTAATGAGAATATAAAGTGTTATCACAGGGAACTGAGAATCTTATATGTTTTACTGGCTATTTAAGACACTTTATTTTCTTTGGGGTTTTTTGCTTGGAAGCCTCACATCTTTTTAACCTTCTGAACTATACTTCATAGTTTCATAAACCATAATATCAACAAGTGACAACAACCATCAGATTGTATGTTTTACCATGAAAATCGATCAAAATGTAGATCTGGCAGTCTTTCCTTTTATATTTTATGACACTATTCATATACGTCTAGAAAAATAAGAAAACCACTCCACTATAGAAATTAACAAAACAACTTCACCTTTGTGTATATTATCAACGGTAATACTTGGATGTTATATTGAATGATGAGCTAAGGCAGCATTTGACATGCTTAAGATTGTGCTCACATAGTTTAGAATTAGGAAGATATAATAATATTGAAAGAAGTAATAGATTGTGCAAACTATGTAACCAAAATGCAGTAGAGTCAGAATATCATTTTGTTATGTGTTGCTCACGTTACAGTAGTATTAGATCAACATATTTAGGCCAGTGTTCATGGCCAACTTTACAAAAGTTCAATGCATTGATGTCAAATAAAAGTAAAAAATGTGTTTAATCTAGCAAAGTATATAAAAGAAGCATTGTGTTTACGTCAAAATACCCTTGAAAGTTTACCTGTCTTCTGATCGTATATTGTACTTTATTATTTGTCTATGTTAGTTATGTATATAATAGTCTTTGCCATAAGTTTTTTGTTTGTTTGTAAATGGCCAAAGGCAAATGTGTTGCTGATTGCCAATAAATAAAGATTTTCAAGATTTCAAGATTTTATTATTCACTCAATACACAATACATGTAAATATGAGGTAAATAACAAATTACAAATGTTAACGAGGTTAATAGTATGTAACTCACACATCTTACAATATTCTTTTAACAAAGACAGGAGAAAGTTTTACATTCATACATAATAAAATGAATTATTTCAAAAATATTTATCAAAGTTTAATATAATTATTCAGTTCAATATTTTTCTAAGATTATTTTTTATAAACATGCAAAGTTTTTTATATATCACATAATTAGAGGGGTCAGTGTTCATTAATTTCTCAAACTTTATTATATTTGGATTTCTATAATAGATTTCAGAGATATATTTTTTTCTATCCGTATTAAGATTTGGGCATTCTAATAGAAAATGAAATTCGTCGCCTATGTTATGATTGCAGAGAGTGAATTTTCTCTGTTCTAAAGGGATCCTATGCCAATTTCCAGTTTCGACCGGTAGTTTATGATTTCTGGTTCTGAATTTGATTATATGTTTTAAATATTTGGAAGGTGTTTCACTAAGATATTTCTCAATTTCAAATTATCTTTTAAAAATACAATAATTTTTGCAATTAGATGTGTTTTCTAGACCTGAGTACCGCTGATTTATGAATATATCTGATAAGTTTTGTTTAACTGATTTAACCAGCCAATTTACGTTAGGAAATTCATGACTCATCCAAATATTAGCCATTCCACATTCTATAAAATATCTTTTATGTAAATGAATGAAAAATGGTATTAAATTCTGTCTGCTAGCAAACATTTGATTCCTAAAATCTACAACGTTTTATTAAACAGATATATATTATATGTTATTTTCTTGAGGTGTATGAATAGTGTCATATAATTATCACGTTTCTATAGAAACTATTCTTAGTCTAAGCCATTAAAAGCAATATAAATTCCAATAGATGAAAATATATATGTATATCTACCTTAATGATATATCGTTATTTTTATCAATAATAAAAATGCTCTTTTTCGGATTAAACATTATTTTTAAAGCTTTAACTTGCTTCGATATTTAGATTTTAATAATATGGCGAATTTGGGAATTTTTAATAGTTTGAAAATTATTACTATTCTTTTCGTTAGATTAAGGTTCATGCAAAAGTTACTGTTAAAATTTCCAATAAAGCTGAAGTTCCATTAAATTAAAACTTGATTTCACGTGGTCTCTAAAATGTCTGCTGATAATTATATACACGTTATCTTTATCTTATCTTTCCACCATCTACATAAAATAACAAAAATAATACTGATTATGATGATGATAAAAGTCAAGCCGAATGATTTTTAAAAAAATTCCATGACAACGAATATATAGAAAAATAAACTAATGACTCTATTAATTAAAAAATGTTATTCCTATGTTCATCAACGTATATTTTTGAATAGAATTCATTTTTCACATATTGCAATTTTGTTGTTATTATAGGGCTGACAAAAAAATCATCTAAAGTTATTTCCTGTCATTTTTTTTCTTTTTTGCAATGTGGCAATATACAAGTTGTATTTAAAAATAAAAGACAATCAATGGAAATATTTAAAAAAATATGTATTTTCTGTCTTTGTTTGATATATGTGTAAACAGATGATATTATATGACATAAAGTACAATGTGTTTTCCAAACTCTGATGATGTTATTTGCTATATAATTAAACGGGCAAACGAACTTGATATTAAACACGAATTTAACCGTTCTAGTGTGGGGCATTTCATCTATTGAAATATTACTCTTGATGTTAGAGCAAACATAATTGTCGTTCAACGAGTATATATTATAAAGTTAAAGAATAAGTTTTTTAAGAGAGACAACTGTGCTTAAATTTTATTTTTAATATAGCATGAGTTTTTCCAGTGAAACAGTTGCATGAAATAAATGACCTCACTTTTTCAAATTTTGCAAATGTTACATGTGAAGTCATTCTAACAATATTTACAATATGCTGTGTTCCATATTTATTTTTAAAAAGTAAACCTATTTAAAAAGATCAATCGTTTTCAAAGCATTTCGCCAATCTCTCCCTGCTAAATAAGTAAATCATAATCAGTAAATGAATCGTAAGTTTACGACCATCCAATTTTTGTTTTTTTCGATACCCAAAAGTCAGGGTACTTAAATGGCGGTTAAAGTGTTTGTCTTTCAAATATTTGTTGATTACATCCTTACTGGTGTCCCAACCATGTTTCCTCATATCATGGATCAGTACTGGGAGAAGACTCTGGAAAAAAGCGTCAGCCTATCCTCGCGAAAAACCTGAAACAAATAGTTATTTCAATTTTGAACTTAAATATAGATTTCAGTTTATCTATATATCTTTTAAGAAAGTAGTTAGAATGTAGTAGCTAAGTTAATTGTCGCCAGTTAATGTCGTAGTTGTGTCCATGTTTTAAATGACCAAAAGATTTTTAAATTCGATATTAAAAAAGATATTGGGTTCGTGCCTAAAGCTATGCTACTTTTATGTTTTCTTAAACCATTTTGACTCACCCTTCTCGATACAATATATAGTTCAATCGCTAAAGATTGAACTCTTTATTCCATCCAAAAACAGATTTTATAACGGGCCATCGGTTGGTTCAAAATTCATAAGCTATTTTTAGCACCTATATAAGAAGCTGAGCGGTCTCTTTCGGAATAAACGTCGAAGAAGGTAGCATGTAAATTTTCAAATTATTTCAATTTTAATTTAATCTAGCTTTACTCAAAAATAACTACACCCTCCCTACCAATACACATATGGCATTTGCTGCCGAAAGTGTGAGAGCGTTTCGTCATGGCTGGAACTGGTACTTACACTCATTGGAAGAGGTAAAACAAACTAATAATGAAGGACACTGTAGACCATCAGCATTCCGATAACGGCGCTGTC